CCACTGCACTCCAGCCTGGGCAACAGAGCAAGACTCCTGAGGCAGGAGAATGGTGTGAACTGGGCAGAGCCAGTGAACTCCAGATTAAAAAGGCACTGCACTCAGCCGCTTGGGCAACAGAGCAAGACTCTGTCTCAAAAAAAAAAAAAAAAAAAAAAAAAAAAAAAAAAGACTATTATCCACAAACACAGCATGTTACTTCTTGTGAGTCTTACTGTTCCACAAAATATACAAGTTTAAGAGCCAGAATGGAAATTGCATTTCAACAAATAATTCAGCCAACTTCAATATTCAAGAAAACTGTACAAAAATATGCCACAATATTATGTCTTTTTTAAAAAAATTATTTATTTATTATTATTATTATACTTTAAGTTCTAGGGTACATGTGCATAACGTGCAGGTTGGTTACATATGTACACTTGTGCCATGTTGGTGTGCTGCACCTATCAACTCATCAGCACCCATCAACTCGTCATTTACATCAGGTATAACTGCCAATGCAATCCCTCACACCTCCCCCCTCCCCATGATAGGCCCCAGTGTGTGATGTTCCCCTTCCCGAGTCCAAGTGATCTCATTGCTCAGTTCCCACCTATGAGTGAGAACATGTTGTGTTTGGTTTTCTGTTCTTGTGATAGTTTGCTAAGAATGATGGTTTCCAGCTGCATCCATGTCCCTACAAAGGACACAAACTCATCCTTTTTGATGGCTGCATAGTATTCCATGGTGTGTATGTGCCACATTTTCTTAATCCAGTCTGTCACTGATGGACATTTGGGTTGATTCCAAGTCTTTGCTATTGTGAATAGTGCCGCAATAAACATACGTGTGCATGTGTCTTTATAGCAGCATGATTTATAATCCTTTGGGTATATACCCAGTAATGGGATGGCTGGGTCATATGGTACTTCTAGTTCTAGATCCTTGAGGAATCACCACACTGTTTTCCATAATGGTTGAACTAGTTTACAATCCCAACAACAGTGTAAAAGTGTTCCTCTTTCTTCACATCCTCTCCAGCACCTGTTGTTTCCTGACTTTGTAATGACTGCCATTCTAACTGGTGTGAGATGGTATCTCATTGTGGTTTTGATTTGCATTTCTCTGATGGCCAGTGATGATGAGCATTTTTTCATGTGTCTGTTGGCTGTATGAATGTCTTCTTTTGAGAAATGCATGGGCAAAGACTTCATGTCTAAAACACCAAAAGCAATGGCAGCAAAAGCCAAAATTGACAAATGGGATCTCATTAAACTAAAGAGCTTCTGCACAGCAAAAGAAACTACCATCAGAGTGAACAAGCAACCTACAGAATGGGAAAAATTTTTGCAATCTACTCATCTGACAAAGGGCTAATATCCAGAACCTACAAAGAACTCAAACAAATTTACAAGAAAAAAACAAACAACCCCATCAAAAAGTGGGCAAAGGATATGAACACAATATTATTTCAAACAGAAAGGCAAGCCTCTGCTGATGGGACTTCCTCCTTGATGAGGTTGACTGCTCTTCACCAGACAGGGCTCAGGTTTCTGAAACATGATACTTGAGGAAAACTGGACTAAGTCTATGCAATATTGTGTTAGATATTAATTCAAATAAGCTTAAGATATGATTATTAGGCATTTTCTGGGATGTCATTGCCTAAAAACCGGATAATTGCAACACTAAATAATTCTTTACAAGGTTCGTAAACCAATCTGTAACTTTAGGCATAGTAAAGCAGTTAAACATGCTGTACTAAAGATTTCATTCTTAAAAAGGATTTACTTCCTTGGCTGACCACTTGCTTGTGAAGCTAAGGAAATATCTTGACAGCCTCACTTGGGTGGAGAGAAGTTTCCTTGGCAAGAGCTGCCTACAAGGCCAGGCCACACACAGGAGAGACTCACTGAGTGCCCCATTTGGGTTGGGCTTTGAAGCTGGCTTTATACAGGGTCTCAAAAATCACGCAGAAAATTTTGGGTTTTATTTACTTGTCAAATAATAAAGCAATAAAAAACACACTTTTGGTTTTGTTTACCTTTCTGTCTTTCTGGTTTATCTTTCATGCCACCAGTAGGATTTTGAGGGTGTTTTTCCTCCTTTGACTGAACCATTCCCAGGATCACAGCAGCAACCACAGCATTCAGAGGAGAAAGCTGTCTCTTTGATGGATTTTCTTTACGAGCACATTTGCTGCTATCCCAGAAGCCCCTGACAAATGTTTCCCTGTGTCTCTAGGCATCATGAACCAATCACTACAGAAGAGGGGATGGGATTAAGTTTTCCCCAGGAGTAAGGGGGAAAGTCACAGCACATATGGGAACAATTAATAAAGGATGAAGAAGAATGGATGGTTGGGCAACCAAACATGACCCCAGACTACAGACCGTAACCTGAAAACAAGTCCTCTCCTGACCCCAGGCAGTTTCCTACTCTTAATCTCTCCTCCTCCAGAGACATTCTCAGCTGTGAGTATCTTCAGTGTACCATCTTCTCCTGTAACACCTAATAACAGCTAAAACATTCTAATGTAGTCATATTTTAGGTGTTTTGGAGCAGTGGTTCTCAAAGTTTAAAGGAAAGAGTCACATGAAGATTTATTAAAATTTAGGTGCTGGCATGACACACCCAGAGGTTCCAATTCAGTGTGTGTGTGTGTGTGTGTGTGTGTGTGTGCATGTGTGTGTGTTTGTGTGTGTGACACAGAGAGACAGAGAAAGACAGACACGGGGGGTGGGGGGAGAGAGATTGCTTGCAGGTGGAGTGGTTGGCATTTTAACAAGCAACCCAGATGATTTGAATGCAGGTAATCAATGGACCTTGCTGAGAAACATCCAATTTAGAACCTATAAAATGTTAAAATTCTGTGGCCAAAAGAATTTGGAGTTTAAATCACAGCAATCTTTCTATTCATGAAGGTTTAAACATAATTCATCACTCCAGGAAAAAAAAGAGCACGTATGTTTTAGATTTTCCACAGGTTGTTAGGTATTTTCCACAACCCTCTAAGGTAATTAGGGTGAGTGGTATTATTCTGAATTTGCTGATTGGGAGATTGATGCAGGTAAAGGGATTTGCCAAAGGTTATATAACTGCCTGTGCATAAACCCTGCTAGGTCTCGTGACTTTTATACAGAAGTCAAGTAACATGGCATTCCCTCTACCAGTACTAAAGTCAAAAGCATTGGGAAAAGCATGCAGAAAATATAAACACATTTCCTAATCTAATTTTGGATCAAGATTTCCTCATCTCTCCAATTTTCTATCAGCAGGTAACTTTAGGGGAGGCAGTGAACTAAAAAGAATTTAGTCATATTCTACCTTTAAGTTTTTGCCCTGGGGGCCCATTACAGGGAAACTTAACTCTCACAGATATGTTACTGGGGGAAAAAAGAAAAAAAAACTCATAGTCCCCTACAGAAATACATTATCACATATTTTCCATAGCTGAGGGTTTGGCTGGCATCAATCAGGATAGACACAATCTGAGTTTTTAACTTACTATAAATCTAAGTTGGAGAAGAGACAAATGGAAAAACAGGGTTCCTTTTAAGATCCCACAAATGAGGCATAGTTTCAAGAGAGGAAGGATGTGGATGGCTTCTTTGATTTCAGAAACTTCAACTGGAACTTCCTAAGTTGTCTGGTTGGGTTTCACATACCAATCATGAGGTTCTTTACAGAAGATAAAGACTCGTTAATAGTGAAGAATTCTAATTCTACAGTCCATCCTTTCCTTTACCATCGAGAGCAAACCTGCATTCTCCCCCATGAGAAAAACTCCAAATATCGACAAACCAAAGAATTCTTTAATCAAATTAGTAAAAGAGACCCCCAGCAGAAACAGTGCATCTTTTTGAAGGTTAAATATGTTATGAACCAGGCACAGTGGCTCACGCCTATAATCCCAGGACCTTGGGAGGCCAAGGCGGGTGGATCTCTTGAGGACAGGAGTTCGAGAACAACCTGGCCAATATGGTGAAACTCCATCTCTACTAAAAATACAAAAATTAGCTGGGTGTAGTGGTGAGCACCTTTAACCCCAACTACTTGGGAGGCTGAGGCAGGAGAATCACTTGTACCTGGGAGGCGGAGGTTACAGTGAGCCGAGATCACACCACTGCATTCCAGCCTGGGCAACAAGAATGAAACTCTATCTCAAAAAAAAAAAAAAAGTTATGAATAGATAAAACGTTTTGTGTTTCAAATCTCTCTGGCTTCTGGGTGAAAAATGCCATTTGCTATTACACAGTAGTTTAATTGTAGAGCATCAAATAACCATGTTCATTTGCCAAAAACCTACTGTTTAGTGAACTACAAAAAATGGTTTATAAAAATCACCAGAAGCTGGCCGGGCATGGTAGCACATGCATGTAATCCCAGCACTTTGGGAGGCCAAGGTTGGTGGCTCACCTGACCTCAGGAGTTTGAGATCAGCCTAACATGGTGAAACCCTGTCTCTATTAAATAAAAACAATTACCCAAGTGTGGTGGTGCATGCCTATAATCCCAGCCACTTGGGAGGCTGAGGCAGGAGAATCATTCGAACCCAGGAGGCAGAGGTTGCAGTAAGCCGAGATTGCGCCATTGCACTCCAGCCTGGGCAACAAGAGTAAAACTCATTCTCAAGAAAAAAAAAAGAAAAATCACCAGAAGCATTATCCAAATGGTAATTTTAAAAGCATGGTGGCTAACACTTGAAATCCCAGCACTTTGGGAGGCTGAGGCCGGTGGATCACCTGAGGTCAGGAATTTGAGACCAGCCTAGCCAACACGGTGAAACACCAAACACCGTCTCTACTAAAAATACAAAATTAGCCAGGCATGGTGGTGCACATCTGTAATCCCAGCTACTCCAGAGGCTGAGGTGGGAGAATTGCTTAGAACCTGGAAGGTGGAGATTGCAGTGAGCCTAGATCTTGCCACTGCACGCCACTCTAGCCTGGGCAACAGAGGGAGACTCTGTGGGAAAAAAAAAAAAAAAAAAAAAGGCAGTCTTTTTGATAGCAGAGTTGTGCAGCGGAAGCGTGCTGGGCCTATAAATTAGCAATTTTTTCCTGGAATACCCTTCACTTCTGAGTATTCGCCAACCTAGAAACCTAGACAAATGGGCTTAGTTTGCCAATCACAAACCAAGTGACCCATCCTGTCAGCTGTCACTATCCTCTAATTTAGAAAATTGTCTGTGGCAATCAGCTGTGGCCCTGTTTATTGTCCAGTAGCAAAAAATTCCCCTTCCCCAAATAAAATATTTACCATAGCAGATCAACCCTGAACCAGAAGGAAGAGAGCACAAAACAGGTATTCTAAGCCCCAATACCTTACCAAAGGATTGTTGTCTTGTAGCGGACACTTTGTTTTGTGGGGCCCAATCATGCTGCTTTAAAATAGAATTGCTTTCTTTAAACACACAAAGTTTCTTTGTTGCAAATGCTCATTTTGCTACACAACAATCTTTTGGGTTTATTCAATCCCCTAATTTCCTCTATTGTCTGAATTTGGAAAAGAACTGAAAAGCACTTTAGACATTTGTCCTCTTTTCTTACAAAAAGCAAAAATGCATTAGAGGGCAAGCATGCCCACTCCTGTAGGACAGGTCCATCCCCCTCAGCACCCTCAGTGGAAGTCCTCTGCACCCTCGGATATTAGCCAATTGAGACACCAAGTGAAAAGGCAAGTAACACTACTCGTGGCTACCTCACAAGAAACAGCTGGACACGGTCTAGACTTGGGTCAACCCAGGGGGTTTTGTTTACTTCTGCAGAGTAAGTGAGGCAGATATAGCAGATAGCTGTGCCATGCACAGTCCTGCCCTTAAAATATGTATTCCTGGGTGGGAAACACCAATTAAAGTCTGAACCACTGTTCTTCCCTTTCCACCTGGGTTCTGTGCCCCAGCATCAACATCCTCCTTTAAACGTGGGTGGAAACACCAGTGCAAACATCAATCTACTCTGTGCACATCCCTTGCAAACAGCTGCCCCAACAGATTAGAAGTGGGAAGACTGACTGTGCATCACAGCTTTTCACTCTGTGCAGAGGAACACACCCAGCGAGGGAGGGCCAGTGCAGAGGTCCCTAAAGCATAGGGCCCAGGAGCCTGTTTTGGAGGTCTAAGGATAGGAACACTGTGGGAAGCCCCAGGGTGGGGTATTTGGGATGAACCTGGAGACCTGAGCTTGCACAGCTTCCTTGGTAAATTGAGGTGTTGTGGACCACAAGATTGCCAGGCTCCTTTCTATCCAAACTTGATACTGTGAGATTCCATGATCCAGTTTGTCACTGTTGATGGCTCAATCTCATGCACTAGAAAAAGGTAATATTAAAGAAAAAAATAAAAAAGACATTCAGGTTAGTACAAAGACCTTTAAGCTCAGCCTCTAGTTCAAAGAGATGAACAATGAGAGATGCTGGTTCATAGAGCTGTTACATTTAACTTCCATAAGTGACTCAGCAGAGGATAACTACTAATCAGAGTACAACATCAAAACTGTAACTGTACATATCAGTACCATGTGCAATTAACACATAATTTATTATGAAAATGTAGACATACAAGGCAAGTAAGGGGATTTAGGTTGACTTTTTATAACACTTTAAATTTAAAATGTCATTTCTGTGGACTGGATGACATCTTCCAGGTGCTTTAATTTGGTTTACCTCCTGATAAATCCTGATAGAAACAGGTAGCACCAGCTTCTACTGAACATCAATACAGTTGTAAAACACAGAGAGCCTGCTTGCCTACACATGGAGAAACATTGTTTTCACAAGACACAGAAGGCAAACTCCCAGTCAGGCATACTGACCTGTCCTCTCATATTTGGGGCAATGAGAATGGGGGACCAGAGGTTGAGTAGATGCCAAAGAATACCAGACAGGTCAGCATGCTTCCCCAGACAGCCAGATGACTGAACTGCAGAGGAAAACAGTCACTCAAACAGGGCTTCTCGGCTGGTCCGGCAGATTCAACCAAACTCCACCTGCTACAGAATCCCTGCTTCCAAGCTACCTCTCCTTATGGAAAGATTCTCATGACTCATAGCTTACTGGGGAGGTCAATCTTCCAAATTCCCTTGTCTCAGAATTTTTAACAATGACTTCAAGTAATGAGTGTCACCAAAGTACTCTGAAGGTGAACATGCTTTTGCTGTCATGGCTGACCTTCCTCTAAAATTTATTGCATAGTGACAGTGGGCCTCTCTCAGTTCATGGCAAGTGTTTGCTCCATCCTAAGGCTTTTTACAACAAGGATTCATTAAACTGGTAAGAGAGTGGGGGAACGGACAATCAATAAGATGTTTTTATTGACCATTTTGGGACTTCAATCATTTTGTTCATTTTGCAAAGACTTTGTTGTTGTTGTTGTTGTTTAATCTGAAATGGATGTTGCCTCTTAACAATGTTTCTTTAAGCATCTACTGAGTTGCTCATTTTTCCTCCTTTGTCCTCTTAATATGATGATCCTTAATTTTTTCCTTTCTTCCACAACTCACAATCTAATCCATCTGCAAGTTCTGTTAGCTTTTAAAAAGATACAATAAATTCAGACTCTGACCACTTCTCACTGCCTTCTCCTCTAACATCCCAGGCTAAAGACATCATTACATTTAACCTGGATTAATTGCCACTGTCTCTTAGGGCAGGGGGCCCCAACCCACAACACAGGTCATGGACTGGTACCAGACCATGGCCTGTTAGGAACCAGGCCACACAACAGGAGGTGTGCAATAGGTGAGCAAGCAAAGCTACATCTGTATTTACAGCCATTCCCTATCACTGGATTCCCACCTGAAGCTCTGCCTCCTGTCAGATCAGCAGCAGCATTAGATTCTCATAGGAGCATGAACCCTATTGAGAACTGTGCATGCAAAGGACCCAGGTTGATTGCTCCTTCTGAAAATGTAATGCATCATGACCTCTCACTGTCTCCCATCACCCCCAGATGGTATTGTCTAGTTGCAGGAAAACAAGCTCAGGACTCTCACTGATTCTGTATTATGGCGAGTTGTATAATTATTTTCTTATATATTACGATGTAATATATAATAGAAATAAAGTACATAATAAACGTAATGTTCTTGGATCAACCTGAAACCAGATCCTAGTAGACTCGTGGAAGTCCCCTTGTCCATGGAATAATTGTCTTCCATGAAACCAGGCCCTGGTGCCAAAAAGTTGGGAACTGCTATCTTAGGAGATTACCTATTCCACATTGACTTATCACCTCATACTCATTTTTTTTTTTTAGCAGAGCATTTAAACGTCAGGCAGGTCATGACACTTCATGAGAGACATGCATAAAGATTTAGTTGGCCGGGCACAGTGGCTCACGCCTGTAATCCCAGCACTTTGGGAGGCCGAGGCGGGCGGATCACAAGGTCAGGAGATCGAGACCACGGTGAAACCCCGTCTCTACTAAAACTACAAAAAATGAGCTGGGTGCGGTGGCGGGCACCTGTAGTCCCAGCTACTTGGGAGGCTGAGGCAGGAGAATGGCATGAACCCAGGAGGCAGAGCTTGCAGTGAGCCAGGATTGCGCCACTGCACTCCAGCTTGGGCGACAGAGTGAGACTCCGTCTCAAAAAAAAAAAAAAAAAGATTTAGTTATAATCTTTAAATGCTGGAATAATGAAAATGTCTAAAATAGGAAACAGCTGAAATAAATGACAGAACATCTATAAAACTTAATACTCTTTAGTCATAAACAATAATTTTGTTGAATTACATTTTAAGGCATAGAAATTGCATCTAATATTTTTTGATAACAAAGACTTGTGTTCTCTAATGCATCATCCTATTTAAAAATACACACAAACACAGACGTAGAACAATGTCTGGAAGGACCCCCAGCAAAGCATTACTAGTGACTGCCTCTTGATGATAAAATTATGGAAATTAATTTTTTAAAGTCTTTCTTTATTTTCTATATATGTGTTTATGTATATGGTTTTTGTTTTTACAATGAGGCTTTATATTTGAAATGAGATGACTGTTGTTAGCTTAGAGGTGTATTAGGTGCCAAGCAAATAAATCACCAAGAGAATTTGGATTGCAAATTTGCTCCAGTAAAGATCAATCCACAATTTTCATGTACCAAATTTGAAATAAGATAGCCAGATGTTGTTTATTGTTTCCCCAGGCTTAATACTAAATCATAGCATGAAGATGTCTATACTGAATAAAGAAATAATTCTAGACAAAACTTACTTTAGGCCAAGCTGTGGTCTCAAAACCAGCTTTCTGATAATCAGTAACAAGAATATACTGTGGAAAAACAGAAGAGTTTGAAGAAACCTTATTTTCAGAGGGTTATTTTCACTTTCCATGAGAAAGCCCATGTCTCCACTCCAGAGTTGCTTTCACCAAGGCAGTTTGAGTTTGAAAATACAGCCATCTCAGTAGCTAACTCGCTAGGGGTTGTTTTTAGGGAACATATAAGCAGATTCACTTCCAGAAGAACTCTCAATCTAGTGATGGACCTTCTCATTAATAGTAGAGAAAGACTTTTTCTTAGCTTGGATGATTTGGGAGACACCACCTTTCTGATTGCTGTTCTCCTTTGCAGGGAGATGTGAAATGGTCGTTTGAAGAACGGGGAAATCTGCTAATCACCTGTCAAGAAACTTCATATAACCTTCAAAAACAATAATGTAAGCATTTCATAACCATCCAGGCCTTTAAAGGATCTATCAAATACATTTTGATGATTTAAAATAAAGAATAATAACAAAGAAGGTCTTATATAAAAGGTTTAAAAGAGGACAAGACACACATGAGCTGTTTAAGAATGGCTCAGTAAATAGACACAAACTTACTGTGTGAACAATATTTCCGACAAATAAATAGATGGTGGCATGACCACCGGTCAACACAATATCTGAAAAAGAAAGAGGCTACTATTAACTTCCTAGATCCTGAGCATGGCCACCTATTTTATTCAGAATATTAAACATGGAACTTTAGGAACATCTATAAACTCACAGGGACATTCCAAAATCGCAATCTCTGTGATTCTAATGCCTAATTCTGTTTATAGTGCTAAAGTTTTTCATCTTATAGTCTCTATAAATAAAGCAAACAAAGTCACGCTTTCAACAAAACAACAAACACACATTTGATCTGCATTGGAATTTACATTTTTATGAAGATTAAAATTTCTTTTTATCCAGTTTTTTATGAGAAAGGAATAAGAAATTATTAACCTATTTTTATAAAATGCCAACATTGAACTTTCTTCCAAGTGTTCATTTATGACTCATCTTTAAATTTTTGCTAAATTTGAATTATGGATCAATATGAAGATAACTATATGAATGTAAAATCAATTTATAATGGCTGAGTTCTGAAATAATTTGGGGGAATATTTAAAACTTTCACATTTAGCTTTATGACCCACCTATGATTGACCTTTGTTTATGGTGTAAGCTAGGGTTCAATTTATTTTACTTACCCATATTGATATCCAAATGATCTACTACCATTTATTGAAAATATTATTGTTTCGGGGTGGAGCAAGATGGCCGAATAGGAACAGCTCCAGTCTCCAACTCACAGCGTGAGCAACACAGAAGACCTGTGATTTCTGCATTTTGAACTGAGGTACTGGGTTAATCTCACTAGGGAGTGCCGGACAATCGGTGGTGGTCAGCTGCTGCAGCCTGACCAGCGAGAGCTGAAGCAGGGCGAGGCATCGCCTCACCTGGGAAGCGCAAGGGGAAAGGGAATCCCTTTTCCTAGCCAGGGGAACTGGGACACACAACACCTGCAAAATCGGCTACCTCCCACCCCAATACTGCGCTTTAAGCAAACAGGCACACCAAGAGATTATATCCCATGCCTGGCCCAGAGGGTCCCACGCCTGGGGAGCCTCCCTCATTGCTAGCACAGCAGTTTGCGATCTCGCGGCAAGGCAGCAGCGAGGCTGGGGGAGGGGCGCCCGCCATTGCTGAGGCTTAAGTAGGTAAACAAAGCCCTGGGAAGCTCGAACTGGGCGGAGCTCACAGCAGCTCAAGGAAACCTGCCTGTCTCTGTAGACTCCACCTCTGGGGACAGGGCACAGTAAACAAAAGCAGCAGAAACCTCTGCAGACGCAAACGACTCTGTCTGACAGCTTTGAAGAGAGCAGTGGATCTCCCAACACGGAGGTTGAGATCTGAGAAGGGACAGACTGCCTGCTCAAGTGGGTCCCGGACCCCTGAGTAGCCTAACTGGGAGACATCCCCTACTAGGGGCAGTCTGACACCCCACACCTCACAGGGTAGAGTACACCCCTGAGAGGAAGCTTCCAAAGCAAGAATCAGACAGGTACACTCGTGGTTCAGCAATATTCTATCTTCTGCAGCCTCTGCTGCTGACACCCAGGCAAACAGGGTCTGGAGTGGACCTCAAGCAATCTCCAACAGACCTACAGCTAAGGGTCCTGACTGTTAGAAGGAAAACTATCAAACAGGAAGGACACCTACACAAAAACCCCATCAGTACGTCACCATCATCATCAAAGACCAGAGGCACATAAAACCACAAAGATGGGGAAAAAGCAGGGCAGAAAAGCTGGAAATTCAAAAAATAAGAGTACATGTCCCCCGACAAAGGAGCGCAGCTCATCGCCAGCAACAGATCAAAGCTGGATGGAGAATGACTTTGACGAGATGAGAGAAGAAGTCTTCAGTCCATCAAACTTCTCAGAGCTAAAGAAGGAATTACGTACCCAGTGCAAAGAAACTAAAAATCTTGAAAAAAAAGTGGAAGAATTGATGGCTAGAGTAATTACCACGCACTCCAGTGCAAAAAAAAGTGAAACTAAAAATCTTAAAAAAAGTGGGAAGAATTGATGGCTAGAGTAATTAATGCAGAGAAGGTCATAAACGAAATGAAAGAGATGAAAACCATGACACGAAATACGGGATAATGCACAAGCTTCAGTAACCGACTGATCAACTTCAAGATGATACCACGATTGAGGATCAAATGAATGAATGAAGCGAGAAGAGAAACCATAAAAGAAAAAGAAGAAAAGAACAGAACAAAGTCTGCAAAAAGTATGGGATTATGTAAAAAGACCAACCCACATCTGATTGGGGTGCCTGAAAGGAGGGGGAATGGAACCAAGTTGGAAAACACTTTGCATATCATCCAGGAGAATTTCCTCAGTCTAGTAAAAGTAGCCAACATTCAAATCCAGGAAATATGAGAATGCCACAAAAGATACTCCTGAGAAGATAACTCCCAAGACACATGACACCTGCCAGATTCACCAAAGTTGAAATGAAGGAAAATCTTAAGGGCAGTCAGAGTAGAAAGGTCGAAGGTTACCACAAAGAAAAGCCCATCAGACTAACAGCAGATCTCTTGGCAGAAACCCTACAAGCCAAAAGAGAGTGAGGGGCCAATATTCAACATTCTTAAAGAAAAGAATTTTCAACCAGAATCTCTATCCAGCCAAACCCTAAGAAAGTTTCATAAGTGAAGGAGAAATAAAATCCTTTACAGATAAGCAAATGCTTAGAGATTTGGTCACCACTAGGCCTGCCTTACAAGAGACCCCAAAGGAAGTGAATGTGTTATGGAAAGGAACAACGAGCCAGCCATTGTGAAAACAACATGCCAAACAAGACCATTTAGGCTAGGAAGAAACTGCATCAACTAACGAGCAATAAACCAGTTATTATCATAATGGCAGGATCAAGTTCACACATTACAATATTAACCTTAAAAGTAAACAGACTAAATGCTCCAATTAAAATATACAGACTGCAAACTGGATAAAGAGTCAAGAAACTACCAGTCTGCTTGTATTCAGGAGACCCATCTCACACGCAGAGACATACATAGGCTCAAAATAAAGGATGAGGAAGATTTACCAAGCAAATGAAGAATAAAACAAAGTATTAGGTTATAATACTTAGTCTCTGATAAAAACAGACTTTAAACCATCAAAGATCAAAAGAGACAAAGAAGGCCATGTTTGTATAAATGGCAGGCAATAATCTAATGTGAAGAGCTTAACTATCTTAAATATATATGCATCCAATACAGGAGCACCTAGATTTGTAAAGCAAGTCTTAGAGACTTACAAAGAGACTATGACTCATACAAGAAGAATGACTTCAACACTCCACTGTCAACATTAGACAGATCAACGAGACAGAAAGTTAACAAGGATATCCAGGAATTGAACTCATCTCTGCAGCAAGCAGACCTAATAGACATCTATAGAACTCCAATCCCAAATCAACAGAATATACATTCTCTCGTGCACCAGCATAGCACTTATTCCAAAATTGACCATACAATTGCATGTAAAGCACTCCTCAGTAAATGTACAAGAATGGAAATTGTGAAATCAACTGTCTCTCTAGACCAGGCAATCTGTTAAACTATAACTCAGGACTAAGAACTCAATCAAACCGTCAACTAAGGAAACTTACAACTAAGTCTGAATGATCACTGCGCATAACCAAATGAAGGCAGAAACAAAGATGTTCTTTGAAACCAATGACAACAAAGAGGTTGAACATACTAGAATCTCTGAGACACATTTAAAGCAGTGTGTAGAGGGAAATTTAGAGCACTAAATGCCCAGAAGAGAAAGCAGAAAGATCTAAATTGATGACTTAACATCACAATTAAAAGAATCAGAGAAGCAAGAGCAACGATTCAAAAAGCTAGCAGAAGGCAAGAATAATTCAGATCAGAGAGAACTGAAGGAGACAGAGAGACAAAACCTCCAAAAATCAATGAATCCAGGAGTTGGTTTTTTGAAAAGATCAACAAAATTGATAGACTGTTAGCAAGCCTAATAAAGAAGAAAAGAGAGAAGAATCAAATAGACACAATAAAAATGATAAAGGGATATCACACCGAATTTGGCTGGTATAGAACATAACTACCATCAGAGAATATAAACACCTTCTTACTAAACAATCAGAAAATCTAGAAGAAATGTGGATAATTTCGACACTTAATTCTTCCAAGACTAAACCAGGAAGAAGTTGAACTTCCTGAATTAACCAGTTAGCAGGCTCTGAAATTGAGGCAATAATTAATAGCCTACTAACAAAAAAAGTCCAGGACCAGATGGATTCATACAGTTGATCTACTGAGGTATAGGTGAGGAGCTGGTACCATTCCTTCTGAAACTATTCCAATCAGTAGAAAAGAAGGAATCCTCCTAACTCATTTTTATGAGGCTAACACCATCCTGATACGCTCAAAGCCTGGGTAGAGATTATTGACCAAAAGAGAATTTTAGACCAATATCCCTGATGAACATTGATGCAAAAATCCTCAATAAAATACTGGCAAACCGGATTCAACAGCACATCAAAAAGCTTTTCCACCATGATCAAGTGGGCTTCTATCCTGATGCAAGGCTGGTTCCAATATCTAAAATCAATAAACGTAATCCAGCATATAAAACAGAACCAAAAAGACGTAAGAACCACATCATTATCTCAATAGATGCAGAAAAGGCTTTTGACAAAAATTCAACAGCCCTTCATGCTAAAAATGAACAATAAATTCGTATTGATGGGAACATACCTCAAAAATAATAAGAGCTATTTATGACAACCCACAGCCAATATCATACTGAATGGGCAAAAACTGAAAAATTCCCTTTGAAAACTGGCACAAGACAGGGATGCCCTCTCTCACCACTCCTATTCAACATAGTGTTGAAGTTCTGCTAGCAATCAGGCAAGAGAAAGAAATCAATGGATTCCAGTTAGGAAAAGAAGAAGTCAAATTGTTCCTCTTTGCAGATGACATGATTGTATATTTAGAAAATCCTAAATAATTTCAGCTCCAAATCTCCTTGCTTGATAAGAAACTTCAGCAAAAGTCTCAGGATAAAAAATTAATGCAAAACTGTTAAGC